TGGTAACGGCGTTTCATTCTCAAACATGATTTCCTTGTCATTTTACACAATCTCAACGGCGTTTTGGTTCCGTTAACATCCTAATAAAGGAAGCGCAGATTCGGAACGTAGAACACTGAAAATATCAAACAAGAAATCGCAGGATCAATGGCTCGTCGATTGAAACTACGGATTAAGAGAAAGAGGCAATCAGATTCAGATACGCGACTGTTGTTGTTGAGGTATGTGGGAATTGATCTCGAAATTTGTGGAATTACAAATCGATTTGTTTCTCTGATGCTCAAGAGAAACCAGTAACGCAACTGATGTGGATGCTTGTGATGCCTAACCAAACAATCAATGATACTCCGTATTGTTTCTGTTTCTTACAGAGTCATGATTGAAGAAGATGGTAATGACGCTGAGGAATGTGATTGGTGGAAGTGTACAAGATTCGTTTGGTGATACTGAATAACAGTGAAAACGACAAGTTCTCTGACTTTTTCTCCCAAAAGAATGGAGCTTTGATGACTCTAAGAGTAATATAATGCATTTAGTAGCATCAGCCCGAGCCACTAGCACATAAAGAATCACATTCAAAGCTCGTCGAGGTGAGTCGCACGTTTTGGTGGGTTTGTATTATTGATGTATGATCAAATTCTTAGAAATTATAGACAAATGAGTCTTTATTTACTTCTTCTTCCTCTACATGACAAACAAGTTAAGTTGACTTTGAATGTTCTTCACACATGCTCTTTAAAAGCTGAAAGAGATGGCTTAACCCACTGCAACTGACTCGTTGAGTTTTTTTACTTTCTTAATCTTTCTATTGGGAAGATGTTGCTAATGGATAATAGAATATCATGGACCTTAGAAAGTCATCATTGTTTTCAATCGTCCTCGTTGTTGTATTATTTGCTTATATATACTTTAGTATTTTCGGCCATTGTTGACAACTTAGTGAAAAATATCTTCTTGCGTTGTAGAAATGGCTGTTTCAGTATCCGGTGATGCAGAAGCACCCTCGATGTCAGCGGATTCTACCACCAAACGCCGCAGTGGAGGTTGGATCACTTTTCCCTTTATGATGGGTAAGAGATTTTTGTTTCTCTGTTTTTTTAAATAGTTGCATAACTTCATATAACCATACAAGAAGAGAGTTCGTGTTGAAGCTACTTTATATGTGGTGCAGCTACGTTGTTCTGCCTGACGATAGCTACATGGGGTTGGTTACTTAACTTGATTGTCTTCCTCATCGAAGAATTCAACATGAAGAGAATCGCAGCCGCGAAGATTGCCAACATTGTTAGTGGTTTTATCTTTATGTTTCCAGCCATTGGAGCCATTGCAGCTGACTCTTTCTTCGGAACCATTCCTGTTATCTCAGCTTCAGCTTTGATTTCTCTAATGGTAAAGTTAAAATAAACTCATTCTACATTTTTTACTCTCTCAAACAGAAACTCACCAATTCTACTACTTGATCAGGGGGTTGTACTGCTGACTCTAACCGCTTTGATTGACTCTTTAAGACCCAAACCTTGCGAAACAGCGTCAAGCCTATGTCAATCGCCTTCGCCAGTCCAGCTCGGCGTCCTTTATACAGCCATTACTCTAGCCTCTGTGGGAGCAGGTGGGATGCGGTTCACTTTAGCAACTGCCGGCGCGAACCAGTTTGAAAAAACAAAAGACCAAGGAAGCTTTTTCAACTGGTTTTTCTTTGCTTGGTATCTAGCCGCCTCCATAAGTGCAACTGCCATTGTCTATGCCGAAGAAAACATCAGCTGGACCTTCGGGTTTGGTCTCTGCCTAGCTGCTAATCTGCTAGGCTTGATGGCTTTCATCGCCGGTAAACGATTCTACAAGTATGACAAGCCGTTGGGAAGTCCCTTCACAACTCTACTTCGTGTCATTTTCGCCTCGGTAGTCAAAAGAAAGGTTGTGATTTCCACCAATGAGAAACACTACCACCGTGAATCAACGGAAACACCCACAAAGAGTTTCAGGTAAAAACCAGTTCGAAGTTTCTCAAGAAATAATAGCCACGAGCCATTCTAACGAGTCTTCACATATGCAGGTTCTTTAACCGTGCAGCGTTGAAACAGGAAGACGAGGTTAAACCAGATGGTACGATTCGCAATCCATGGAAACTATGCAGCGTTCAACAAGTGGAAGATTTCAAAGCGGTCATAAGAATAATCCCTCTTGCGTTATCCATTATATTCTTGAGCACTCCAATCGCGACACAGATTGGCTTAACTATACTTCAAAGTCTGGTTATGGATCGCAGGATTGGCCCTAACTTCAAAATCCCTGCAGGCTCTCTCCAAGTCGTAACACTCCTCTCCACTTGCTTTTTTTTATTACTCAATGACCGCATTCTCTACCCATTTTACCAAAAGCTAACCGGAAAGTTCCCCACACCGCTTCTAAGGGTGGGAATAGGCCATGTTTTCAACATTCTAAGCATGGCCGTGACTGCCATAGTTGAAGCAAAGAGATTGAAGATAATACAGGAAGGTCGTCTTCTTGAATCATCATCTGTTGCTGACATGTCAGTCTTGTGGCTATTCCCTCCTCTAGTTATCGTAGGACTCGGTAAGGAATTGTTTCCAAATAATTCATCCGATCCAAATTGAGATCAAACTGATCATGTTCTTGGTTTTCTCTTTTGCTTGTATAGGCGAGGCCTTTCATTTCCCAGGGAATGTAGCTTTATGCTACCAAGAGTTTCCAGAGTCTATGAAGAGCACAGCAACTTCGATAACCTCGGTGGTGATTGGGATATGTTTCTACACAAGCACAGGTTTAATCGATGTGATTCAGAGGACCACCAAGTGGTTACCAGACGACATAAACCATGGAAGAGTTGATAATGTTTACTGGGTTTTAGTCATTGGAGGAGTTTTGAATCTTGGGTATTTCCTCGTCTGCTCTTGGGTTTACAAATACAGAAACCTTAAGGATGATGATCATGAGCATGATGTTGCAGTCTCTCACTCCACTACTTTGCCCTCGTGATCTTACAAGCTGAAGAGAGAGAAAGAAAGATCATGTCCTTTGTAGTCATTATTATCTGCTGTTATGTAAAGGGAGAGCTTTGTCTGAGAGTATCTTCCATTTGTAGTCATTGATAAGTTTTTTGTTTGTTTGTTTCTACTTCATCAGAAAGCTCTCTCTCTGTAACAGTCTCAACTTTGATCATTAGTAAACATTTTGCCATTACAAAATCCCTTTTTCAGATAATGCACTGCTAGCATCAGCCTGAGCCCCGCAGACCCTATATAACAGAAAGAATCCTAGCCAAAGCTCGTCGAGGTGAGTCTGTCTATTTATCATTCAATGACTTGCACAGTGTTTTTGTGGGTTTAATTTGGATCTAGGCACCTACTTGTATTATTGATGTTTGATCAAATTGTTTAGCAATAATAGACAAGTAGGTCTTTTTAATATTTCCTCTACATGACAAAACAAGTTAAGTTGACTTCTTGTATGTTAGCTTTACATAGGCTGTTAGAAGCTGACAGAGATGGCTTAACTCACAGCAACGCACGTTTTGAGTTCTTAATTTTTTTCTCCATGAGAAGAGGCTGCTCCTCGAAAATAGAATATCATGGACCTTAAAAAGTCATCATCATCATCTTCAATTATCCTTGTTGTCGTATCATTTGCTTATATATACCGAAGTAACTCTGACCATTGTTGACATCTTAGTGAAAGATCTCTAGTTGCATTTTAGGAATCATGGCTGTTTCAGTTTCCAGCGACGCAGAAGTACCAATGTCAGCAGATTCCACCACCAAACGCCGCAGTGGAGGTTGGATCACCTTTCCGTTTTTGATAGGTAAGAGATTTTTAATCGTTGCATAACTTCATGTAACCATAGAAGAAGAGAGTTCATAATGAAGCTACTTTATATGTTTCAGCTACCTTGTTCTGCCTGTCAATAGCAGCATTGGGATGGTTATTTAACTTGATTGTCTTCCTGATTGAGGAATTTCACATGAAGAGCATTGCGGCGGCTCAGATTTCCAACATTGTCGGTGGTTGTATCTTTATGTTTCCTGCCCTTGGAGCCATTGCAGCAGACTCTTTCTTCGGAACCATCCCTGTTATCTCAGTTTCAGCGTTAATTTCTCTAATGGTAAAGTTAAAAACAGCTCATTCTACATTTGTTCTTCTCTGAAACAGAAACTCACCAATTTCAGTCCTTGTTCAGGGTGTTGTTCTGCTCACTCTAATCGTATCGCTTGACTCTTTAAGACCGAAAGCCTGCGAAACAGCGTCAAGCCTATGTGAATCCCCCTCTAAAATCCAGCTCGGCATCCTTTACACAGCCATTACACTAGCCTCTGTGGGAGCAGGTTCACCTTGGCCAGCGCTGGTGCGAATCAGTTTGAAAAAACTAATGACCAAGGAAGCTTCTTCAACTGGTTTTTCTTCACATGGTATTTAGCTGCCTCTATAAGTACAACCGCGATTATCTACACGGAAGAAAACATCAGCTGGACCTTCGGGTTTAGTCTCTGCCTAGCAGCTAATCTGTTAGGCTTGATGGTTTTCATCTCCGGTAAAAGGTTCTACAAGTATGACAAGCCCTTAGGAAGTCCCTTCACAAGTCTACTTCGTGTCATTTTCGCCGCCATACTCAAACGAAAAGCCTTAGTTACCACCAATGAAAAACACTACCACAATGAATCAATAGCAACACCTACAAAGAGTTTCAGGTAAAAACCAGTTCGAGAACCGCAGTTTGAGTCCGACTGTCTCTAACGAATCCTCACATATGCAGGTTTTTTAACCGTGCAGCGTTGAAACAGGAAGATGAGGTTAAACCAGATGGCACAATTCGCTACCCATGGAGACTGTGCAGCGTTCAACAAGTGGAAGATTTCAAAGCAGTCATAAGAATCATCCCTCTTGCGTTAGCTACAATATTCTTGAGCACTCCAATCACGACGCAGCTAAGTTTAACAGTTCTTCAAGGTCTGGTGATGGACCGGAGTCTTGGCCCTAACTTCAAAATCCCTGCAGGCTCCCTCCAAGTCATAACACTCCTCTCCACTTGCCTGTTTATCATAGTCAACGATCGGTTTCTCTACCCATTTTACCAAAAGCTAAGCGGAAAGTTCCCTACACCTCTCCAACGAGTCGGGACAGGTCATGTTTTCAACATTCTAAGCATGGCTTTGACTGCCATAGTTGAAGCAAGGCGGTTGAAGATAGTACAGAATGGTCATTTTCTCGGATCAACATCCGTTGCTGACATGTCAGCCTTGTGGCTATTCCCTCCTCTAGTCATAGTCGGAATTGGTAAGGAATTGATTCTGGATAATTCATTTTACTTGACTCGAGATCAAACCGATCATGTTCGGTTTTGTATTTTACTTGCAGGAGAGGCCTTCCATTTCCCAGGGAATGTAGCTTTGTGCTACCAAGAGTTTCCAGAGTCTATGAAGAGCACAGCAACTTCGATAACGTCGGTGGTGATTGGGATCTGTTTTTACACAAGCACAGCTTTGATCGATCTGATCCAGAGGACCACCAAGTGGTTACCAGACGATATAAACCATGCAAGAGTTGATAATGTTTACTGGATTTTAGTCATAGGAGGAGTCTTGAATCTTGGCTACTTTCTTGCATGTTCTTGGCTTTACAAATTCAGAAACCTCGAGGATGATGATCATGAAAAAGATGTTGCAGTCTCTCCCTCATGATCTTTAAGAACATGTCCTTTCTTTGTTATCATCAGAAGTTCTGAGCTGTCTGAATGTATCTTCACTCTGTTCTCCCAAGCTACTTTTTTTCCTTCTTTTTGCCACTTTCTACAACAATCTCAACTTTGATCAGTTGGTCAACTTAAAACCTTATTTCAAACAAAATATGTTGTTAATCAAACCGGAATAACATAATCTTACTATATAAAAGATGGCCAACACTCTCCATCTATGTGACATGTGGCAGCTGGAAAGGTTGACACGTGTACAAAGTAATTCAACAAAATAGTGTGACAACTGACAAGTCCAATAATCCGTTTACCATTCAGATTACTTGGAATGTAGGAAATAGAGAAAAACAAAAGAAACTTTTAAACCTTAAAACTAGGACTGGACGCAAAACGAATATTAGAAACAAATACAGTATTTATGATTCGATTTGTTTTTGCCGGATATCTAATTTTCTGATTTACTTTGATTCGAATAAATTTGGATATTTGGAATTACGGAAATCCAGGTTTTTTCGGGATATCCGTTTTATATAAAACATAATAATTAAAACATCAAGTTTTTTTTTAAAATTTGTTTTAATATAATATTTAAACTAACTATTGAATAAATATATCTAATTTTATTCGATCTAGAAAAATAAAGAGTGGAAGATGAATATACATATAGTTAACTATGTTTGTTTAAATTATAACAACATTTTCATTTAAATTATAACTATTTTATGAAAAATAGTTAACTATGTTTTAGGTAGTTACAGAATAGTGTGAGATAGTTAACTATCTTCCCATATTAATGTAATATGTAGTTTCGAAAATAATCAACTATGTTACTCCCTTCGTTTCAAAATATAAGTTGTTTTGGAAGTTTTTTTTATGTTTCAAAATATAAGTTGTTTTGATAATTCTAGGTACTTTTTAACTTTATTGACTATTGTGTGACCAATAGTATTTTGCAGTCGTTTTTTTATTGGTTAAATTATTTTTATTATATATATAAGATGATACTTTTTAGAAAAAAAAATAGTTTCTTAATATTCGCACTTTTAACCAAAACAACTACATTTTGAAATGGATGAAGTATTAAATAGTTAATTGTTATAACATATTTTTTTTTTGTCATCTTGTTCCCTATGACTTTTTCTGGCCTAATCCTCTCTATATTAATAGAGGAGACACTAGGTGAAAAATCATAGGTGTCATCTAAAGAGGATTTTAAGGAACTCATAATAAAGACTATTAAAATATTTTAATGATGGATATATGGAAACAACAAATATGTGGTAATTAATATAGATGATTTTATTTAAAGAATATAGAAAATATTTGCGAATATCTTATTTTCTTTTCAATAACTATTAGATTTTTTGTTCCAAGTCAAACGCGAAATTAAAATATGCGAAACTAAAAATAAGATCTATAAGTCATATAGTATATATCTCTCATACAAATAAATATTTTTTTATCTCACAAAACTTAATTTATATGACACTTATATTAAATGTAGAGAATTTTTTTAAAATACCATTTTTAATATACCACTTTAAAAAAATGCCATCATTTTGAGACGTTTTCAAGAATGTCACTAATCCTCTATATATTAATTGAGTAGATATTTGGTGAAAAAATCATATATGTCATTCAATGGAGATTTTAAGAAACATGTCATTTAAATTAATCAATAAAAACATTTCAATTAAAATCATATGCTATGGTGGAAATCTCTACATTTTTTTTATTAATTTTATAATATAAATCCAGTAATACACATTTTACATATTTAAGTTTAACTATCTGTAATATTTAGACTTACCATATGATCTATTTTTAAAAAAAATATATATATCAAGAAGCTTTCATTATTATATTTGTAACAATATTATTTATTTGTAAAGAACAACTACATTTTTACAAATATTTTTACTTTTCATTATTGTGAAACATATATTTTTCGTTTGTTATGTACGACAAATTCATATAAATCTAAAATTTATGTGATTTATCGTATGCTATAATTTACACAAATAATAAAAATAAATTTTACACTTCAAATAAATTGAAATAAATTACATTTGCATTAGTTTTAATACTTTATGCAAAATTGATCAAAACATATAACATCAAAGTATGCTTGATCAAAATTTAACTTTATGACATTTATGTACAATAAATATCATTTTTGTACGTTTATAAATATTGGAATACCCATCTAAATATTAAAATCGATTAGAAAACATATTTAATCTCACGCTTGGCGTGAGTCAAAATCTAGTTTTATTTTGTTTGCAAAGCATATCTACTTTTTCAGAGATAAAGACCAGAGATGAGAAGAATAAAAAAATTTGGCGTTTTTTTTTCATATTTACGTTAATTACATCTGTAAAGGCAATTTTGTCGTTTATGTATTTTTCTATGCTACTTACCTAATTATATATATTTTTACATGTTACTTACGCACTTTTCTCTTCCAAAATGATATTCTACTAATTAACCCCTTTTTTTGGGGACAAAGTTCTACTAATTAACCC